TCAGTGAAAGAACGCTGCCCTGAGGAAAACCTTGTTTCAATTTCATGGCTTTAGATACCTTGTATCTAAAATCAACAAAGGATGATTTACCTACAAGATAATTGCAGAAACATTGTTTTTGTGCTGTCAGGGATGGATGTTTTACCTAGGGCAACCGCATTGCCCGATTTCAGCTGAAGGATTATGCTCCCAGTCTATCATATGTTTGGGATGAGGTGTTCAGAATATGAGTAAAACTGAAGGCCAATGGCCCCAATGTGCTTGAGCATAAGCATTGAAATTCCATCTGGCCCAAGAACTTTCGAAGCCTTGGCTTATTTGATCACGTTGTATACATCATCTGTCTCCGAATGGCGGGCAGGCAGAAGCAACGTGCACAACATCGCTAGGAAAATTTGGTCTTATTACCTTGATCCTACCTGCAGAATCAACTTCGGCAGTGGACTTAATAATTATGCTGCAAAATCGTACCCCTAACGTCTTTATGTTCAAGAATTTGAAGTATTAGTCAAAAAAGACGTAGGAGAAAACTGTGGAAACACTTGACGGAGTGATTAAATGGAGGAAGCACCAATCACTCTTGCTTCTAAAGAAAAAATAGAACCACATACTTCTTATAAGTTTTGCTTTTTTCTTCACACTGATCACAGCAAATGGGCGTAAATGAGTTTTTCTGTGACAACGTAGCTATGTAAATAGATTGTAAAAAAGGTTTTACACATTCGTTGCAATGGCGTTACTTTTCACCAGTATGTCGGCTGTTTCATATGAATTATAAACGCCTGCTTAACAGAAAAACTTTGAAGAGCATGTAATGGGTTTTTTACTAGTACGTCGGCGCATATGACGCTTGAGTAATTCCGAAATGTTTATTAAGTAATGTTAAATGAAAATAATTGCAATATGGAGATTGAGTTCTTTTATCACACTATAATAAATACATAGTTTATTTTTAATATTAAATAAAATCATTAAAATTCACTTCAGTACACTTCAGTACTTCAACCAATACGACGTTTTATATGAAGATCGAGTGTAGCCTTGAAAGAAAAATTTTTGTATGTTCTTCAACTTTATTAAAATACAATTCGTCTTTTGTTTTTATTTTATTATTATTGGATAATTATTGGGCAGTGATATAATTTTGTACGTTGTGTGGCTCCGCCTTGTTGTTAACAAATTTTCCCTGTTCTAGGTTACGTTTTTCCCTCCCTCGACACGTTGTTATTTTCTAAGTTGTATGTTTTGTTGAAAGAAAACTTTTATTCGTAATATAGTGCCTTATGGGAAGATACACGCCATTCACTCTTGATTTTTTATCTGCTGTAGGTGAATGTGCGAGTACGCTTACACAGTTAAATAGAACTTTCAATAACTTGTAAATAATTCAAATTTAATTAATTATTTGTAAATATCAATTTCACGTTCTTCACTTTGAAAGTCAGTTCAATTCAATTTTTTCCAGTCTAGAATACTGTGCTACCTAACACACTTTATGTTGTCTCAGTGCATTTCGCTGATCACGTTGTGGAATCTTTACACTCAACTTGTTTAAGCTCATCAAACGAAGTTTTCTGTGGTACTTTCTGGTTCCGTTTTTATTGTAGCATTTTCTAGCGTTATAACAGTGTATAGTTGGTTTTCTAAAGGTAAACTCTTTGTAGCTATTTCAGATTCTTCTTCCTTAAAAAATTGTTGTGTAATAAAGCCACTCGCGATTAATGTTTGATTATTAGTACTTTTTGGCTTCAATTTGTTTTTTAACAATAATTTTTCAACGATATCTCTTCCAATTTTCAACGATATCTCTTCATCATAATTTATTTGTAATTTACTCTTGTTATTAACTGTATTAACAATATTTTCAGTTGAAATTTCCTTTGAATCATCAATTTTGTTAATCTTTATTAATGAAGATTCGAAACCATTTCGTTTTAATTTTTTCCCAATATCATCATTCCACAAAGTTTTTGTATGCTTTTTATTCACCTCAAGCATTTGAGAGTTCAAAGCTTTAACTGAATCCAGGCTGCTGAGGCTGCTGCTGGTATATTCGTCTGAAATATATATAAAAATATGCAGTAAATATTGAATAATAGTCTTATTTTATAATACTTTATATATAAATACTTAAAACTTATTAACAACGTCGTTCTATAATGGTTCGTAATAAGCAAAACATTTTTGATACAAATGTTTTTACAAAATTTCACAAGATTAATGCTTGATTTTAAAAACAATATATAAAAATATATAAATAAATAAATCACTTTCATTTAAAGCCTAATGTTCTTTAGTGTTTTTAGGTTTAAGTTTACAAAATATTTGGAAAATAATATTATTATTATAATCTACCCTTAAGAAAACCCTTGAAAACATCAAAAAATATCTTGATATTACACGACTGTTTTAATTTTTAGATATTATGTTTATTAAAGCCTAAAAACACAAAAGAAAACTCTTTGTTGTAGTCTCATGCTAAATATAGTTCCAAAATAAAATAAAGTTTTCTTTTCAAAAGATAAAAATTGTCATGTAAGGTTATACGTATTAAAAGTCACAGTAGCAACGCAATTTTTAAACAAAGAATTATTAATTGCTTCTCAAAATACTCATATATTATATTTTTACAAAGATCTCACTTATATGATCTCCCCTGTCGTAATGATTTTTAAGTTCTTCCTCTGCCACATTGCATTCCATGAATTTGAATTTATGCTTCTGGGCTTTGTTTTCCCGCTTTCTTACAGATGAATGAATTCTGATATGTTTTAAAAGTCTGTAAAAATAATCCTTTAATAAATTTAATTTTTTAATATAAATAGAGTTACTTTTTATTTGTTTTGAATTTTTCGTCACACTCATCGCAAGCAAATAGTCGTAAATGAGTTTTACTGTGATAACGTAGCTCAAAGGCGAGCATAAAACGTTTTCCACATTCAAGGCAAACGTGTGGCTTTTCACCAATATGTCGTTTCATGTGAAGATTAAGTCCTATCTTAGCAACAAATTTTTTATTACACTAAAAAACATAAATCTAATTTTTATACAATACTAAATAAAGGTAATTGAAAAACTGACTTTCGTACATGAGTAAGGTTTCTCACCAGTATGTCGCCTCATATGTATCTTGAGTTCTTCTTTACTAACAAAACTTTTACCACACTATAAAAAATATATGTGCTTATATATTCAAAGTTATATATTCAAGAAAAATAATAGCAAAATTTACTTCAGTGCATGAATTATATATTTATGTTATATAAATATATTTTTAAAATAAAACACGAATGACACTTTTTATATATTTTTATTATTTATTTAAACATTCACTAAACATTTACAAAGTTAAGATTTTATTTATTTTTATAAAAGAAAATCACACACGAATAAGATATTTATTTTATTAACGAGGACGAGATTTGAAATTTAATATAATGGCGAAGACATGGTCGAAATTGTACTGACTGCCTCTGAGTGGTGCATTCAGTTTTTATATGGGATGAATGATAGAATAATATTCTATCATAAACCAAGCATCTGTGTAATTACCCAATAGGATCGATGCTTGTAAAGTGTGTCGTAAAACATATTTTATGTTAGGATCGATAATTAGGTGAACGTGACTTTATACCAATATTACTTGGATGCATCATCATAGAAGAATTTCTAATATAATTAGGTGCGTGTTTAATGATCGATCTTTGATGTTAAAGAGATGCATTGTTATAACTTGAATACGCATAATTAATAAACATCTATTAGTTTATTAAACAATGGTACCATTTACTATTTAGAAATGTGTGACGAATTGTCCAATTAGGAATTGTCACGAACAATATTGAAATCGTTCAATATTGTGAATCATAAAATTATATGAAATTGTCACGAACAGTAAAAATAATAAAATGTATATTTTATACTGGGTTAACTTTATTACCCATTATATTATATTTGTATTTATTATGTGTTTGAGTGGATGCATATGTAACTCATGAATGCGGTTTCTCACCAGTATGTCGCCTCACATGGATTTCAAGTCTCTCCTTACGAGTGAAACTTTGTTTACACTATTAAAAATATATTGTCATCTCAAATAAAAATTTTTAAAATACAAGTTTATACTTCAGTGCATGTGTAGGGTTTTTCCCCGGTATGTTCCCTCATATGAATATTGAGTCGATCTTTACGAAGAAAACATTCTTCACACTAATAAAATTATATATATTTATTGTATTTAATTTTAAATAAAATTAATGGAACTGTATACCTTAGTGCATGTGTATGGCTTTTCACCAGTATGTTGCCTCATGTGAAGATTAAGCGACTTCTTAGCGGAAAAACCTTTGCTACACTATAAAAATTTATGCTTGGGATCAAAACTTTATTACAAACAACAAAAATATTTACTTCAGTGCATGTGTATGGTTTTTCACCAGTATGTCGTCTCATATGTCGTTTCAGTGTTTCCTTACGAGCAAAACATTGTTTACACTGTTAAAAATATATACTCATTACATATAGAAATTATATATAATAATAGTTGCAATATTTACTTCAGTGCATGTGTAAGGTTTTTCACCAGTATGTCCTTTTATATGACGATTAAGATCTTTTTTAACAGCAAAACTTTTTTCACACTAAAACCAATATTTACTTATGTTATATATTAAATCAAAATAATTGAAAACTATACTTGAGGGCATGTGTAAGGCTTTTCACCTGTATGTCGCCTCATATGACTTTTGAGTGAGCTCATTATAGAAAAATGTCGATTACACTTCAAAATTAAATACTTATTATTTTTAATCTAATATAAAATAATTATAATATGTACTTCAGTGCATTTGTAGGGTTTTTCACCAGTATGTCGCCTCATATGAATTCTGAGTGAGCTCATTGTAGAAAAATGTTGATTACACTTAAAAAGTTAAAAAGTTATGTAATTATTATTTTTAATATTATATAAAACAATTGAAATATATACTTCAGTACATATGCATGGTTTTTCACCAGTATGCTGGTTCATATGAAGAATAAGTGAGCTCTTAACAGTAAAACCTTTATTACACTATTAGAAATATAGACTTCTTATAATGATTGTTAAATTGAAAATAATTAAAATATATACCTCAGTGCATTTGTAAGGTCTTTCGCCAGTATGTTGTCTCATATGAATATTGAGTCCTTTCTTAGAAGCAAAAATTTTGTTACACTATTAAAAATATTTTTACTTATATTATTTAAATTTAAATAAAATTTATTAAATTATATACTTCAGTGCACGTATTAAGTTTTTTACCACAATGATACCTTATATGATAATTCAGTGACCTTTTGAGAGAGAAACTTTTATTACACTAGAATAAAATAATATAAATATACACTTATTATGTTTATTTTTACAACAGTAATTATTATATTCACTTTAGCACAGGAGTATGGGTTTTCACTGTTGTAAGAACGATTAAGGTCATTCTGTACACCCAATTTCAGCAATTTCTTTTTAAAAGAGTCGCAATTGATATATGGCTCATTTGTGATTTTACTTTTATGAACACTGCAAAAATTTAAATTATGATATTTATTTTCTTTATTTATGTATATATCACTTACTTGAACACAGTTGATTCGTTTTCCATAATTAATTGCTCAGTAACTGTTTCAGTTTCACTATTTTCTATTACTTTTTGTGAAACACCGCCATAATCGAGAGGTATTCGATCATTTATAATTGTACCGTCTGGAGTTTCAGTAACAGCAGATTCTGGTTCATTTTTAATAGTCTCATTTTCTATTGTTATAATACTATACATTTCGCTTTCTAATAGTAAATTCTCTGCAGGTGCATCGGGATCTTCTTGTTTTATAAATTGTTGCATAATAACTTCATCATTGATGTATATTTGTTCATTATTACTCATATGTGTTGGCTGTATCCTTTCACTTTTATTTTCGTTATTGAATAATAATTTTTCTGTGGTTGGTTCAGTTCTTTCATCTACTATACATTCTTGTTTAATAACTCCATTTACCATTGACGAAAGTTCTTCATATTTAAGTGATGGCAAGACATTGTTATCAGTTGGAGTAACATTTTCAATAGGGTTTTCGTTGGAATTATCACTTCTGTAATGCTTTTCTGATGACGTAGCGACATTATTTGGTTCTAAGTTTTGGGCACATTTAGCACTGAGGAAAGTCTGTGGATGCTCTCTGTGTATCTTCAGGAAGTGAAAGATTGAATCTTTAACTGAATTAAATTCTATGCTACATAGCGTGCAGTTTTTTTTTCTTTCTTTCACATCTTTAGGGCTGCTTTTGTTATATTCAGCTGAAATATATATGAAAACGTACCCTAAGCTTAGAAAAAATAATTTCATTGAATCTTGGTTCATATATTATTTATATTATTAGAAAAATCTTTTGGGCATTAAAGTTCTCAACAAATTATACAAAGAATATGATAATATCGGATTTAACTTTGCCGCTGAAATAGAAGATGCAGACTAAACTTTTATTAGTATATTTTGCGGTATTGGTAAATTCCTTTATGCTCTCTTGCATTCTTAACTAACTGCGTTGTTATTTTCTTATCAGTTTGTATAAAATTTATAAAATAAATTAAATGATATATACGTGTAGATTTAACATTATTAAATAAATGTTATATTTTTTTTTAATTTCAAATTCATTTTCAAAACAATTACTAATTTCTTCATATATACTAAAATATTATATATATTAAAAATAACTTACGTATATGAGTTCCAGTTTCATAATGAATCTTAAGTTCTTCCTCTGTCGTATATATCGCTTTGCAATCTTTGCATTTCAGTTTGTCCTCCTGATTTTCATTTTTACTCTTGCTTTTAGATGAATGAATTTGGATTTGTTTTTTATGTCTATAAAATTTAACTTATATTAAATTTATTCTTTCAGCCTAAGTATAATTACTTCTTATTAGTTTTTAATATGTGTTCATACTGTGACTTATCACCAATATGACGCTCCATATGACGATTGAGTGCGTGCTTAATAGCAAAACTTTTTTCACACTAAAAAATGAATGCTTATTATTAAATATTAAATGACAATAAATGAAATATTCACTTCAGTACAAGTGTAGGGCTTTTCACCTGTATGCCGTCTCAAATGTCGATTAAGTGAGCTCTTAGTAGAAAATGTTTGGTTGCACTAAAAAATTATACATTTATTTTAATTAATCTTATATAAAAATAAAATAAATAAACATTTACTTCAGTGCATGCGTAGGGTTTTTCACCGGTGTGACAACGACGATGTATTTTCAATTCACCCGGTGAAAAACATTTCTTCTCACAAAAGTCGCAAATAAAAGGTTCCTTTCTTGTATGTGCACGTTTATGCCTTTTGCAGAAATTAAAAAATATATATTTTGTAATAATAAATTTATAATTGTAATTATAAATTTTTCAAAATTTAAGTACAAAAATCATACAATCTTTCAGAAGTTGTGTGTTGCTTTTTGTGTAACTTCAGTAGCGTAGCTGTACGCAATTTTGCTTCACATTTGGAACAAGGAAATTTATCAACTTCCGAATGCGTTATAAAAACATGTCGTTCGTAACTTATTTGAGTTTTAAATGAATTTGGGCAATCAGAGCAATATATATGACCTCTCTAAAAAAAAAAAAATTAAATTAGAAAGAAAAAAAATAAATACATCAAAATACGTAATTAACAGTGTAAAAATTTCAAGATAACAGAATAATTAAGTAAGAACCTTAACTTATATTCTTAATATTAATTAAAGTACTAAGGTTTTAACATCAAAATAAGTTAATTTAATCAATTTACAACGTGTATATGAATCATAATAAAATTAATATATTCACTAATTTACTGATACATTTTATTAGAAATAAGGAACTTATTGAAATAAAAAAAATTTTATTTATTCACTTTATTGAATTTGTCTATCCAAAAATGAATTTCTTAAACGAGAAGATTAAAATTATAATTTTATTCTGCCTTTAAACGTAGATATACACATTTATGAAATTATCAGATTATGACAAACTTACATGAAATGTATCATAACTTTCACCGCAGCAAAAGCATATATTCTCCTTCTCTAGTTTAACCGCATCCTCTTCGATTTTCTGTATATTTTTTATCATTTCTGCTTTTCGAGAGTGATAACTACTATTCAAATAGCACACAGCTAAATGTTTTTTAAGCATCTGTAAAGTATAAGCAAAGTATAAGACCTAAATAAAAACTGATTTAAATAACAATTACAGTACTTACACCAAATACTTTATATGACTTCAAGCAGCTACCGCATTTGTATTTTGGAATACGATCCTTAACTGCTTCTTTTGTACCGTCAGCATTCAAATGGACCCTATCATTTATATTAGAAATTTTGTCCTCCGATTTCACTATATCTTTATCCGTTAATAAAAAATCAATGTTTGGGCCTACTTCGTTTTTAATGGAAATGGTTTTTAAAACGTCGTGACTCATTTTTTTTTTATTTTAGCTGTCCTGGTCAACTTTTCAATTTATTTAAGCGACCGTTTGAGTGAAAAAGCGTTCGTCTTTCAAAACAGTGAAGTAATTTTTTTAATTGTTGTTACTTTACTAATAATTGAAATCATTCATTTTCAACGAAGAAATATATTATTAAAATAATTATTCTTTACGTTATATATTAATATTATTATACTATCAGCAATACTTAGAAACATTGCAAATAGATAGTAAATAATTTAAATAGAATTTTATCTCTGCATCAAACAAATTTATTTATAATCAATTTTGAAAGCAATTTCCTTAATATATTATTCACATGCGTTTATATTAAGATACTAAATAAGTAATTAATAGTGAAATTTGCAATTTTTATTCGTATATTTTATTAAGTTCATACACATATAAGTCTTATAATTTTATCCAATTGTTGTAATAACAAAATCATTATACATGCATAGTTAATATCAACAAAAACAAACTCAAAAGTTTCGTTTACTTCAACTAATATTTGTTGCTTTTACAAAATGTGTCAATAAATCCAATTAAAAAAAGTACTGGGAATTGTTTCTCAACACCAGAGTTGCAATTTATTTAACGAGTTTTATTTATTTATTTATTTTATATATTGTTCTGATCGCAATACAAGTTGTATTTTCGCGTTTTGTTGCAATAATTTCTTTTTCAGTGATTTAAAAATATTTTGGTTAATGCAAACAATTGTTTTAATTCAAATAATATATGTTATATGCTCCAATAATTTAGTTCACTTGATTATGATTTGAATTAGAAATAGAAGCTGACGTTCCACAAGGAAACGTTCTTGGCCCTATCTTGTATGTACTCTACACATCTGATATCCCAATAAGTAACTCACTTGTCACCACAACGTTTGCCGATGAGATGGCAATTTTATGTCGAAATTAAAACATTGTGTTAGCTTCAAACCAACTGCAATCTTATTTATTTTGGGTGGAGAAATGGTTGTCAAAATGTCGAATAAAAATTAATGAACTACAATTTAAATTCGTCATTTTTACCTTAAATCGAAGCACATCTCCAACAATTTTACCAAATTTCATTCCTATACCACAAGCAGATAATATAACTTACTTAGATATTCACCTAGACGGACGGTTAACTTGGCGCAAGCATCTTCAAGCTAAAAAAATTCAGATGAAGCTCCAAGCCCCTAAATTGCATTCGTTCATTAATAACAGATTCTCCTTGTGCCTAGAGTATAAAATACTTTTGTATAACAGCATTATAAAACCAATATAGACTTATGGTAATGCTAATGCTTCAAAGCATTATCAAACCAATATGGACTTAGATAATGCTAATGAAATTATTCAAAGAGCTCAGTCAAAAATACTGAGAACAATCACTGGTGCCTCATGGTATATTAGGAATGAAAGTATCCTCCGAGATCTACAAATTCCCTTAGTTAAAGCAGAATTTGACAATATAAGAGAAAAATATAATAAAAGGCTGACAGAACATGTTAACCCCTTAGCAAGGAATCTCACATTTCTATCCATTACTTCCCGCCTAAAAAGAGCTGACCGCCCAGCCATGTATACACTGATATTGCGGCTGGAATAGCGAGGTGTAATATGAACTTTAAGAAAAACACAGTGAAGATTAAAGTACATAATTTGACTAACCGATTTAAGTAAGTTTAATTTAATTTATGTTTAATTCATAAATATTAAATATTGAATTTTTTTCTTTCGATATTTTAAAAAGGAGCTGGAAAAATGGGGACGTCAGGTTGATTACCTTCTGACTGACTCCATTTTAATCGCATAATAGTCATAATTGGTAGCAGTCGTGTGTACGATATGGGTATAGAAATTCAAAATATGTAGATTTGTTATTACATTTATTTTTAAAACTAATTGAATTTTTTATTACAGTTTATATATTGGAAGATAAAGCGCTATATCCAATATAATCGAAAATCTCAGTGTCGTTGACGTGATTATAGTCCGCCGAGATCTGAAAAGCAGAAACCATCTAAGGATTACAAGACGAATGCATGGGTTGGGATGTAGATGGATGGTGTTTGTAGTAAGGTTAATGTGAAAAAGGGGGAAGAGAGAACATTAGGTTAAGTTCAAAGGTCAATTGACTAAAATTTGTGTGCGTAGAGGGACAATAAAATATATGGGCGACATCATGGGGGATAAAGCTGCAGTTTGGGCACACATTAGGAATAGACGTGTTTATGCGTGATAAGTAACTGTTTAACACATGGCTATACTCTGATCTAAATTGAGCTAGGACAGTTCTTGCTGCACGGGAGAGACGCCGTTTTTCCTGAGAGATAACAGGCATCCTTAGTAGGAAGCAAGAAATCGACGAATACGTCTTGGAGGGAGCGCACTACTAGCCATGGCACCATTAGAATGTCCATCTGTGTGGAATTGCTTGGACAGCAGTTGGTTATGTTCTTTTACAAGAAGTAATTTTGATTCCGCATAAAGGTGGTCAACATGCAACATTAGATGACAGCGA